GGCATGGTGGCGCATGCCTGTAGTCCCAGCTACTCGGGAGGCTGAGACAGTAGGATGGCTTGAGCCCAGGAGTTTGAGGTTGCTGTGAGCGAGAATGATGCCACGGCACTCACTCTAGCCAGGGCAACACAGTGAGACTCTGTCTCAAAAAAACAAACAAACAAAAAAAAATTCTGTGTCTTCATAAGCTCTGTGCCCTTTACACAGAGCCGGGTCCTCCACCCCAGAAACGTGACCCGCCATGGCACGAGCGCTGAGGGGCAGGAGGGGCCCCGAGCCACACGCGCCAGCTGCCCGCACATCTGTTCTCGGCCTCGCGAAAACAAACCCTGGAGGTCTCAGCTGGTCCCGACCGGGAACATCCGGTCCAGCGCTCTCGGGACAGGGGGATGCAGTGGGTGGGGCGGGGGAGACGCACCTACGGAGGTCAGGGGCCAGGCCCCGAGCCCACGCAGACCGCGGAATGGTCTCTCTGTCCCTCACATGGGGGCCGAGCACATTCCGGGGGAGTCGCCGTCCCAGGCGGTTCACCCACAGCCTCGATCCCGGGAGCTGCTGCCCTCACGCCACCTCCCCTCCCCTGGGCTCAGAGGGGATGGTGGACGGGACACAGGCCGGCGGCCCCTCCTCTCTCCCTACGCGCCGGACGAGGACGGACACCGCTCAGTGGACAGAGATGCCCACGGCTCAGCCCCACGGTGAGGGAAGAGCGACCCCAGCCCGGCCACGTTGCCACGTGAGAACGACACGTGAGAAAGTCCAGCTGACCTCCACACTAGAGCACCACGGCCAGCGTGGGCAGACACAGGACCTGCACGGCCAGGACCCGCAGAACCGCTGAGTGCCGAGTCCGGGCGGCCACAGCCCCGTCCTGGCTGTAGGAGGAGGGCCGGGCCCGTTCCTGTCTCCGCACGCAGCGGGGCCCCGACTTGGACCAGCCCCTGCAGAGAGCCGGAAACTTCTGGTGGAGTTGCAGGTGCAGGGAGGGGGTGTTAGGCCGTTAGGCTCCTACTACGTGCTGGGCGCTGCGCCGGGCACGTTCCCAGATGCCCCTGTCTCGGGGCGGCGGCACCTGGGAGCGGGTGTGTGGCTGCACTCACCAGCCGGGGCAGGCCCGGCTCAAAGCCAACGTCCCACAAACGGGCAGCCTGGCGCCGCACCTGCCGCCTGACCCGACAGCTGGTGTCTTTATCCAGCTGGAGGGTGGCTGCCCACCTGGTCCACCTTCCCGGCAGCGCCGCGGGGCGGAGAGGCTGAGGTAGCAGCTCTTCCTGGCCCAGTGAGGACCACGGGCCACCAAGACAGGAAATTTGAGGCTCCTCCCCAGAGGGGGCCTTCATTTGGGTTCTAGAACCCGGGCTCTGGCTTCTGCGTGTGGGGGTGGCATGTGGACTCCCCCCATTACCACCAGGAACACTGAGGACACACTCCCAGCCTCTGGCCTCGGGGGGCAGGGAACACTGTCCGCCACACCGGCCCAAGCCTGGAGGCTCCCTCTTCCCAACCACTTGGGACCCCAAAGTCACTGGGCCACAAACTTCTTTCCCAAAACAAAAGGTGCTCTGATGGCAGCTGTGCAGGAGAACCAGCCGCCCCTGCCCAGGGCCCCCGGAAGCCCACCTGGAGCGGCTGAGTGCGCTGAGCAGGCCCAGTCCCACCTGCCCACGGCCCGCGAGGTCCCGCCCGTCCTGCCCAGCCGCGGGCCCGGCGCTCGGCCGGTCCTCAGCCCTGCGGAGGCTGTAGAACTCCTGGAATCGGAGGCTCTCGCGGGGCCTGCACTCAGGGAACCTGCTGTGGCCTTGGGGAGGTCCCTGTCCCTCTGAGTGTGGCAGGTGGCACCTTCAGCAGCAGGAGCCAGCCCCGCTCTGTGGACGAGGGCCCCAGGCCCGGAGAGGTCCGGGAGGTGGCCCAAAGTGGAAGGGCTGGGACTGGAACCTCCAAAGCTCGGCCCTTGGCCACTGGTTCAGGCCGAGAGTTTAAAATGTCACACCT